TTACACAAGCGTTATCTTTCCTTAATCCATACAATGAACGTTTTTTTTGTCTTGATTGGAACTTGGCATATTTCTTTGATTTAGGCTCGGGCTGCGCGTTTAAGGGCTTCAAGTTTTGTCCTTTCAAACGTTTTTTTTCCAAATTAATACAATAAATATAATTTCAATTAAATACGATAATGATGTTAATAATAATATAATAATACTAATAATAATCAATAATTATAATAATAATGATAGTACATAATATATACGAAAATAATAATGGTAATAGATATATTAAAAAAATTAATATTAATAATAATTATATCATAAATAACAATAATTAGTAAAAATAAAATAATAAAAAGTCAGAAATTAACTTTCAATTATTCTGATAAAAAGAGTTGGGCCATCAAGAAAAACTTTGATGGGCCTATATTGATCAACAATGCACCAACCCCCTTTATAACTTGAAATGGACTTCTGGTCTAATGGGCCTTTAGTAAAAAAATGATATGGGCTAAAGAGTCCATACACATCTTCTTTAAAAGCCTAATGGACCGCCAACTTTCCATGGGCTTTTCTGATTTAGAAAATCCCATTAATTCTCTAAAAGGATGAAACCCCCTTTTACAAACTTAAACCCCAAGCAGATCCTAACTCTGAATAATAAGGGATAAAAGATTTAGAAATTAGTAGGAAAATTTTGGGGTATGACACGCTTCTATTGCAGCCTTCTTATTTCTCTAAAATCGCCTCCATTGGGTTATAGTCATTGGATTCTTCCCCTTATAAGTATGTGGAACATGAGCATTTTTATGGTCACTCCAGTTTGACCTAGCTGAGACGAACTTGATCCTTTCTCAATCACCTGCCATTTTTGGCTTGATCCTGACCCCTTTTCGACTACCTTCCATTTTTTATTTACTCCCTCTGGTATGTGGGATGAACTTACTTGTTTTTGGGAGCATTATTTGGTGGCACGAAGGTCCTTCGATAAGGGAATTTAATTATCCCTTGAGGTAGTTGAACCTTGTGGGGCACTTCATCCCTGTTAGCTCTAAAACTCTCATTTCTCCATAACACGTGACTCTTTCTCAGCTCATTTTCTCTAACCTCTTCGATCCTCCTTGTTGCCTTTCCATCATTGAACACATTGCACTTCAGACACAACTTTGGTCGAGAGTTCTCTAGCTTGCACTTGTTCAAAAAATCGATCGACTCCTCTTCAGGATGAGGAAATGCAACTTTCATCAATTCAGCCACAACGCTTTCTAACATTTCCTCATTCTGTTCGCCAGCTTCCAACTACTTTTTAGAGCTATCCGACCTTCGATTCCTTTAGTAGCCTCGACCATCATGATTTCGTCAGGTTCGAAGAAGTTAGCATCCCTCACTTGCACAGGATCAGTGTCCACTTTCATTGATTCTTTTTGTTTTTCGCCAAATTGCAGTCTCCCATCCTTCAGCGCTTTCTACACCAAATCCCCGAAAAGAACACATTAAAGTTTTATTATCCAATAAATTGGGATATTTATAAAACCTTTTTTTTGCTTCTTCTCTAATGACGTTTTTTTAAGACCTGGAGGTACCATAATCTGACCATCTGATACTAACACATCAAATATTTGATCACATTCTGTAACATTAAAAGTATAAGTTTTAGCGACAAACTTCTCATTTTTATGTTCTTAGGAATTTTTTCTGTTTAAGGGTTTTAAATCCATAGAGGCGTATGGAGGGCCTGACTTAAGTTCTTCCATGTTAACTTCTCCCCTCTATGTATTCGTGCGCCCACTCTGAAGGATACTCTTCAGTGTCCACATATACAATTTCCCCCCTTTTTATGACTTTTTGAAGTCATGACCTTCTCATCTCTCAAGCGTTCGACCTATCGAAACCTATCAGCCAATTGCACCATATACCTAAGGTACTGGGTGTCTAGCTTCTTCCTAATGGAGCAATCTAACCCGTCAGCCACCATTTTGACCGGTTCGTGTTCAAGAACCCTAGTAAAACACGTGGCTTTGAGTCATCTGAACCTGTTCTAGAAATCGTCTATTGACTCAGCTGTTTTTCGCATTACACTAGACAACTTCTTCAGACTTATCTTAAATTGACCCATGTAAAATTGTTCATGGAAAATGCGCTCTAATTGATCCCAAGTTCGTATAGAGTTCGGGGAAAGAGTTGTGAACCATGTGAACGCATTCTTGGTCAACGAACTGGGGAAATATCTCATTTTAAACCCTCGTCTATGGTGATATCCACAACCTCAGTTTCAAACCTAGATATTTGTTCAACAGTTGACTTGTTTGTATCACCGACAAACTTAGTAAATTTAGGCACTTTACATCCCCTAGGTAATTCTTCCTATCAAATATAATCAGGCAAAGACGATGTATAATTTGGCATATGCTGACCAAAATTAAGTCCACTTCGTGTCAACGCTTCTTCGACTACAGTCACAATGTTGTTTCGTTCTACGAAATTGTTCACGTTCCATAGAGCGCGATCCACATCTTGGTTTCTTCACACTACAACTGACCTAGGTACGTATTGCTTTACATAATCTTCTTCTTCATCAAGAATAGGTTCTCGTACCCTAAACCTAACAGGAAATTCATGGACTACTGGAGGCGGATCGTCTTCTTCTACCTCCATTTGCCTCACATTCAGCCTCACGGGCCTTTGGTGCATTAGCATTGGTTAAACACCAAATGACTCAAGCAGTCGACCTATTTGATCTACCATTTGGTTAAAAGTGATACCCATTTGTTGATTTAGATTATTTACTAACTCAAGATTAATTTTGTCCATCTGTTGTCTTAACACCATCACTGAAGTCGTATTCAATGATGGTGTCGTCTGGGGAATATGCCATATTTTCCCTGTTCGACCACTAGTGTTTGTAGTTGCAACAAGCATACTTTAATAATGAAAATATGGTGGCTCGGTATCCATTATATTATCAGCATAATTTGATATGTTCGACTGAAGACCAACCATCATCGATTGAGGCAACCATATTGGTACTGTCATAGAGGCATTGATCCTACTTGGAATAGAACTCTTGTGGGGTTTAAAGGTGATCCTCCCTGATATCCTGATCCAGTTGCGACCCTTGTCATTGGACCAGTAACAAATGTTCAAATGGAGGACAAAATTGTTGTACCTTGTTCCATGGCAGCCACCGGTATGGCATTCATGTTTTGTGAAGTATTTTGCGCAGGGTCTGAAGTGTTCGTGTATGTGCTAGAATGTGACATTTTAGACAATTGTTTCTCACTTCTCAAATTTATACATGACCAACGTTCATCAATATAATAATTCAAATAACAAAACAACATAAAAGATTCTTAGCACTGTCCCACTGGGCGTGCCAATTTGTTTACCCATGAAATTGGTAAACAACACTAGTCTCTTGTTAAAGGTTGCTTTGCAAGATCGACTAGTGAGTCTCAGGACATTAATGCTTCAACTTTTTTAAAGTGTTTTGAGATAAAATGTGATGAGTGACTTGAATGCAAGTGATTTCGACACTGCGTGAAATCAACTTGTTTGTGGATTGATAAATAAAGCTAAAAAGACTCAAATGTTAAAAAAGAATAGATTTGCAAAACTTAAGTTAAGTTTAAAATAAATTTGCTTGACATGAAAGAAAAACTGGTGATCCAAACATACATTGCTCTTACTTGACTCATTTCGCTCTTTGCTCGGATACTCTGAGTGTTTGCGTAAGATGAGAGTAAATTTGAATCCCCTAAAATCTATTTATAACGATTTATTTATAGTACAAAAAAGGTAACTGCTTCTTTGGTAGGTTCATCTTCTTTGAGCGTCACGTGTCCGCTAATTCCTCCATTTGTCTTTCCCAAGTTCCCATGTTTCAAACCCTACTAAGGGACCATCTTTTCTCGTGTGTGTCTACTCATAACTGCCTATTGCAAACAGGGTCTTCGTGTCGACACCATGTTTTGTGTCGACTTGTCCTTTTACTACTTCTCTTGTCGCTTCTTTCATATTTGTCCCTTTTAGCTGGATTTTATACTTGTCGAAAATCCTGGCTAACAACTTCACTCTCCTCACCCTTTTTACTCTTCTTGTTTCTCCTCTTTGGCTTGTACTTCACCGACGGTTGACACATTGAAGTTGTGGATGAACATGTTAGATCACATCTGACCCACAATATCCAAAGTTTCCGATAAATCGTCCCGAAAATTTTGAAATTTTCGATTAATTACAACTGGAAATTTTGAAAATATATATTTTTTTTTTGATAATCGCCCAATTTCGGTATTGAAAATTTCGTAACTATACTTAAAATTTTGTTTTCCACCACTTTGACCAATAATAAATATTTTTTGATAAATATAAAATATTTAAAAATAAATAGTAACATGGGCATTTTAAAAATAAAAAAGAATAGAGAGGTGTGAAGTATAAACGGAAGTTAAAACCTCCATTATCAATTAAAGTTTCAATTAGTAGGCCGTTGCATGAGGAGATGTAAATTTCATTCTAACTCTAAGGCTCTAGAGAGAGATTTGAGTTTGTGCCTTTGCCCTAACAAGTTAGAAATAAAGGACGGACAATTTTAATCTAGGTTTATTTTCTTCTTCAACTTTATAATATTTAATATAGTATCAAACACTTCATATTTATACCTTAATAAATAAAATTTAATACATCTATAGAAGCTACATAATAACAATCAGCACCTCTTGTTTTTCTACATAATACTCGAAAATAATAAAAAGGAGGGAAAAGAGATATCTGTTGCACTTGCACTGCATTTTGAACGTTGAACGGAGTCACGTCTCTTACATTGGATATTTGGATTGCACACAAAACGACAAAGTTAAATTCTCTCACATCTTTCGCACCCACTCGTCCTTTTCTTCCACCTGTCCAATCCTCCCCCTCCTTCATTCCAAATTTTCCGCTTTTTCTCCACCCGTATCACTCACTCTCTGCATAAATAACAAACAACACTCTTCTCTCCTCAAGAACCACCAATGGATGATGACTCAATGATGACATTAGCAGTGTTATGGTTCGCCTTCATCCTCTTCGTCGTCTTGACACCTGAAAACAACGAACCTCCTCCCATTAACCCACTTGAACAAAAAGCACTCTACAATCTTCTCAACTCCATCGACCCAACCACTCCTTGGACCACCCTCTACCCCCACGGTTTCTGCATCTCACCTCCGTCCTTCCTCCATTGCGACTCCAAATCACACATTGTCCAACTCAACTTCGGTTTCATTTCCGATCAAACCGATCTTCTACCTTGTTCCCCTAACGCTACTCTCCAAGATCCTCTTCTCTTCACTGCATTCCCCTACCTCCGCAAAATCTCCTTCTCCAACTGCTTCAACAACACACACAAACCCATTCACTCCATTCCCTCTTTCCCCCCATCTCTCCAACACCTACTCTTCATTGATAACCCTTCATTTATTTCACCTCTCCAACCATTTCTCACCAACCTCACCGCCTCTTTAAAGAAACTTGTCTTGATCGGAAATGGCTTCTATGGCGAACTCCCGCAGCAGATAGGTGCCTTTCATGACCTTCTTGAGCTTACTCTTTCAAGAAACAATCTCTCCGGCGAGATTCCGGCGAGTATCGGAAGTCTGAAGAAACTGGAGATTCTTGACCTCAGTCATAACGGGTTTAACGGGTGTGTCCCTCAACAGGTTGGGAGTCTCATTTCACTTTCTAAACTTAACTTGAGCTATAACAGCTTTGGTTGTAAAATACCAGAGACTTTTATTCACTTGAAAAACTTGGAGTTTTTGGATTTAAGCTTTAACCGTTTTGGTAAGTTTGGTGTCCCTTTGTTCTTAGGACAGCTTTCCAAAATCAAACAAGTTTATTTAAGTGGGAATAAACTCTCCGGTGAGATTCCGGAAATATGGGAGAAACTTGGTGCTGTTGAAAAAATAGGATTTTCCAATATGGGGTTGGTTGGTGAAATCCCAGCTTCAATGGTTGTTTATTTGGAAAATCTATCTTATCTTGGCCTTGATAACAACAACCTACAAGGTCGTATTCCTGATGGATTTTGGTATCTTTTGCCGTATGTTGATGAGATCAACTTGGAGAACAATAATTTGACTGGTAGAATGGAAGTCACCTGTGGAGGAGATGTTGTACTGAAAAAGATGAAGTTGGCAGGAAATATTGGGTATCATTTGAATATCACCAGTGATGGCTGTTCTTCTTGTCCAAAGGGAGGTACCATGGGTCACTCCAAAAGAAATGGTGAATTCTGATGTCCTTTTCAGTCGGGCTTCTTTGCAGCTTTTTCATCCTCTATGTTGCTTTGGCTCTTCATCATAGTCTTTTTCTTCATTTTATGTTTAGTTTTTTATTTTGTTTCCACTAAAAAAGAATTACTCATATCTGTTTACAAGAGTGTGACTCAAATGTAAATGGAGTTGATACTAATGGTAGTAGACTAGTAGTAGAAGTGGAGAAATGCTTAGAATAGTTTCAAGTATTGTATGAGGAAAACATATTACTCCATTAAGGTTAAATATATGCATAATATTCCATTTTGCAAATGAATTCATGCTTAAATTATGATGAACTTTGAAAATTGTATGGATTTTGGGTTGTTGCAATTTGCCAAATCATGATATTTATTAGCCTATGAGAGTTTATGTTCTTTTGGATTTTGAAATATTTGTCTACGAAAAAATTATCAGATTGAGTCACAGACTAGGTCGATCTATTTAAAATATTTTACGACATTGTTCAATTATGTAAAACTGCAGTATCTGGTACAAAGACCAGTCGTAATAATTTTTCAAACAAAGAGAAATTCAAATAATTCTCCAAAGAGAATTTAATAATGGTTGTTTGACCACTCATAATAATTTCTCCAACAAATAGAAATTTAAATAATTTTTCAAAGAGAATCCAAAAATTAATACTTAAAAATTTCTCAATTCAAATAGGAGAAACGAACATAATTCTCTAAAGAGAATTCAAGAAAATATTCAGAAAATTCAACGAATAGAAAGAAAAGGAGAAGTTGGTGTTTCAACAATTCAAAAGATGTAGAGTTATGAGAGTGAGGAAGGAAGTAAGTTGGTTAATATTTTTCACATGAACAATGTGAGACTAAATGATTTTTTTCAACCACAAAAAAATTCTAACAATGTGAGACTTAAGAAATTTTTAAATTCAACATATTGGAACATGGACATGTTCCAACAATCCTCCACTTACACTACAAGAAAGATGGTCCCCAGCGACATATATTAGCGACGTGGTTATCACGTGAGTAATAAATGCAGTTGCGACGTGATAACCACGTCACAAACATATTTTAATGATAAATAAAGTAAGTCAGAGAAGGTTGTTTAGTAAAAAAATCAGCGACGTGTCTTACACGTCGCTACAGAAAACGAAAATTTAATATGTATAAACTCTGAGACATTTAGTTGGAGGGAGTTTAAAATCATTTTGAAATTTGGTAGTGACGTGATAGCCACGTCGCTACATTTAAGGGGGAAATTAAAGTTGATTGATGACAGGGTGGCAGAGTGGGAAAGTGAATTATATTTCTGTTGAGTGTGTAGCGACGTGAGTCTCACGTGGCAATGTTGCGACGTGACAGTCACGTCGCTACTTGATGTTTACATCTCCACAAAATTCTCATCCGTTACAGCATCTGGTTTGTTTCCTCTTCCTTTCTTCTTCCTTTGTTTACTTGTCTTGCCTCTACCTCTCAAACCCAAATTCCCAAATCAAATTTCCTCCATCCCAAATTGTTGAAGAAGAATAAGGTATTCATATTTTGATAAATTTTTATTTCATTTGTTCATTATTTATTATACTGGTAATAAATATTAAAAAGGGTATTTTGTTTAACATGTAGAGAAATTTGAAGAAGAACACCAAGAGCTACACAAGAAAAAGCAAATTAAGTGAAGAAATTATATAGAGGTATTTATGCATTTTTTTAATATTTTATATGTATTATATAGATTAGTAGTATATGTATTTTGTTTATGTGAATTAAAAAAATATTTTACTTAATTTTAGTTTTAGGTTAATTAGTATTATAGGTTAATGTTTAAAATAAAATGAAAATTAGAATGTTTTATATATTAATATATTATTAAACAGAAATATTATTGTTAATATATATAGGTTAATATTTATTAATATTATTGCATGTTATATAGACATATAAAAAAAATTGTTAGTATATACGTATAAAATAAAAAAAAATTGAATATATATTAAAATAAATTTTTTTAGAAAACATAAAATTAAAAGTCTTATTTTTTATAGATGTATATATATATATATATATATATATATATATATATATATATATATATATATATATATATATATATATATATATATATATATATATATATATATATATATATATATATATATATATATATATATATATATATATATATATATATATATATATATATATATATATATATATATATATATATATATATATATATATATATATATATATATATATATATATATATATATATATATATATATATATATATATATATATATATATATATATATATATATATATATATATATGTTAACACATAAATTTAATAACATATTTAAAAACAAAAATGTATATTATATTTATTATAATAGTTTTATTTTTTTTATTTATATGTTAAAGATATGAAGAAAAAAATTATATATTAAAATAAGAATTTATAAAAAACATAATTAAAAAAAGAGTATATATATTATATTATTATTTTAATATTATTGTTATATATATAATAAAAAGTATATATGTTACATTATTTGTTTTCTAATATTATTGTTGTATATATAATAAAAAGTAAATATGTTATATTATTGTTTTTTGATATTATTGTTATATAATAAAAAATTATATATTTTACATTTGAATATTTATTTATATGTTAGTATATATATAAAAAAGCAAAATTTATATTTTTAAGAATAGTATTAAATAGTTTAAGAATAATATTATTAAGTTGATTAATATTTCTAATGATTAATATTTAATAGCTTATGATATATCCCGTAAACAGAACTTCACATTACGAGCTGCCTTGATGTGGATCGTTAATGACTTTCCAGCATATGGCATGTTGTCTGGTTGGGGTACGCATGGAAAAATGGGTTGTCCGCATTGCATGGGATACACCAAAGCATTTACGTTGGATAAAGGTGGGAAAAGCTCATGGTTTGACTGTCACCGCAGATTCCTACCAGTAAATCATCCATATAGAAGAAACAAGACAAATTTTAAAAAAGATGTACGAGAGAAAGATTTGCCTCCGCCTCGATTGCCACCAGGGGTTATATGGAACCAAGTATGTGAACTACCAAAATTTACAGATACTAGCAAAGCATGCCGAATTGAAGGATACAGCGTCACCCACAATTGGACAAAAAGAAGTATATTTTGGGATCTTCCGTATTGGAAAGATAATTTGTTGCGCCATAATCTTGATGTTATGCATATTGAGAAGAATTTTTTTGATAATGTATTTAACACAGTGATGGATGTGACAGGAAAAACAAAAGATAATGAGAAGGCCAGACAAGACATGGGAATTTGGTGTAATCGAAGAGAGTTGGAGTTGAAGCCTCAACCGAATGGAAAATTATTAAAACGCAAGGCTTGTTTCAGTCTGACTTCCCAAGAAGCTAAAGCGATTTGTCGATGGTTAAAATAATTGAGAATGCCCGATGGGTATTCATCAAATTTAGCAAGGTGTGCTGACCCTAACACTGGAAAATTACATGGTATGAAAAGTCATGATTGTCACATTTTTATGGAACAGTTGCTACCAATTGCATTTGGATCACTACCCAAACATGTTCTTGACCCACTAACTGAAATTAGTCAATTTTTTAGAGATATTTGTGCGTCAGCTTTAAAAGTGGAAGACATCATTAAGTTGGATCAAAACATTGCACTCATTCTTTGTAAGTTGGAACAAGTATTTCCGCCTGATTTCTTTGACTCCATGGAACATTTACCTGTGCATCTTGCATATGAAGCTTATCTTGGTGGACCTGTTCAATATAGGTGGATGTATCCGTTTGAAAGGTTCATGGGTGATTCAAAGAGATCGGTGAAAAATAAAGCTAGAGTAGAAGGATCTATATGTGCACATTACTTGTATCGGGAAACGTCACATTTTTGCAGTCACTATTTCAATCACTTGATGTTAACTTCTAGAATCATACGGAATCCTGTAAATGTCAATCAGAGGAGTCAATTCACCTTATCAGTCTTTGCGCTTCCAGGTCGACCTTCTGGAAAGAAGGGTGTGCATTGGTTGACCCAAAAAGAAATGCAATATGCACATGTCCATGTCTTGATCAACTGCGTTGAAGTTAAACCATATCTTGAGTAAGTTTACCAAAACTTTTTAAACTTATGGTGTGTGTATACCAAACTTATTAAACTTATGGTGTGTGTTTTGTAGGGAATTTAACAATGCCTATTTTCATAGTACCGGGGTACAGTCAACGTCAGGTGTCATTCATGCTCAATTTCCCTCATGGTTCAAGCAAACATTGTCTAGCGTTCTTGCACTAACTCCAGAAATACTCCATTTGAGAAACTTGGCAGAAGGCCCTATCCAAAGCGCAAATGATTGGCACACATACTTCGTGAACGGATATAAATTTCACACTGAGGCATGGACCGAAGGGAAAAAAACCATAAATAGTGGTGTTTTTGTAAAAGGAGTTATAGATGGCGGTGAAGACGACTTCTATGGATTTGTTAAACATATCTACGAGTTGGTATACAATTACTTGGACACGGAAAATAAAGTTGTCTTGTTTTATTGTGAATGGTATGATCCAACTAGAGGCACAAAGATAGACAAGTCATATGGTTCTGTCGAGATTCAAATGAACCGGAGATACAAAGAATATGACCCTTTCATAATGTCACATATTGTTAGGCAAGTTTATTATGTTCCTTATCCTTCATTTGTAATACGTAAAAGAGGATGGTGTGTTGTACTAAAAACAAAACCGCTAGGTCATATTGAAACTGGAGATCTAGTGGAAGATGCTGCCTACCAAGTTGATGACGTTGAACAGATTAATGATGTGGTTGCAGCTGAAGACATTACAACTTTGTCTGATACAACTGTTGAGGGACTTCAAGTTGATGCGTCTATATTGTTGGTTGATAATAATGTGGATGAAGACAATGATGAAGAGTTTGAATCCGAGGACAATATTACATCGGATGATGAACATGATA